GAGAGAGAGAGAGAGAGAGAGACGTGAGTTTTCCCGTTAGTCACATTTGAGACGAGACAAAAACAAAATGGCGGTAATTTTTTTTTTTTTCCCCTCCGTCGCTATTAATAATTGTTTGTTGTTGTTATTTTATAGCGCTATAGAGAGAAAAGTGTAAACGTGTTACGTTTGTCTATAAAATATATTTCCGCATTTACAACCGCATTCCGTCACAGAGTAATAAAAGACAAAAATAGAAAAGAAAAAAAAAAAAAATTTTTTCTATTGTTTTTTTTTGTTTTTAACGCTATAAAAACGTTTTGTATAGTTATAAATATTTATAGTCTATAAAATTTCTTTTTAAAAAAATTATTTAAAATTTTAACAGAAAAAAAATAATAAAATTCTTAATAAGAAGAAAAACATCAACGCAACCTTTTTTTTTGATTATTTACTCTCTCTCTCTTTCTTATCAGTACCGTGGGTTTATCAATAAATTTTTATATATATAGTAAATTTAAACGCTATAATTTATAGACGTTAAAAAAAATTATTATTATCATCATCAGCTATTATACCAAAAATTATGCGTTCCCTGTTGATTTTTTCCCCTAGAAAATTTTCATTAAAAATTAATCGATAATGTTAGAGGGGAGGGGGAAATTTTTTTTTTTTTTTAAATATCTTAATATTATCATCATTATCATTATTATCATTATCATTATCATTAATTTTTTACACGTTTCGGCTGCAAAAAAAAATTATTTTCCTTCCTATAATGAATGCATCACGAAAATCGCTAAAAACTAATTTTTTAACAATGACTATATACCAACCATTTAAATAATTTATATTATTAATAATAATAATAATTTTATTTAATTACGTAATAATAATAATAATAATATAATTATTTTTAATAAGTCGATAAAAAAAATAAATTTTTTCGTTTTTTTTTTTTTTTTTGAGAAAAAATAAAAAAATATCCGGTTAGATTAAATAAAAAGTGCACTTTGATTAATACATATATCAATTTTCTCTTACTTTAATAAATTATTATTATTATTATTATTATTATTTGTGCTCATGCAAAATTATTTATTTATTTATTTATTATTATTATTATTATTTGTGCTCATGCAAAATTATTTATTTATTTATTTATTATTATTATTATTAAATAGTCAAAATTAAAATGCAAATATTAAATACAAACAAACGGAAATACATAATCAATTTCCTGTTATAAAACATGCAACGCTCTAATGAAAATGCCAAAAAAATTTTTTTTAAAAATTTGACTCTCGAATTTCCGTTTGTATTTCTCTCTCTCTCTCTCACCACCACCACCATCACCACTCCCTCCACGTCAAACGACGTGTAAATAGACAAATTAAAAATTTTTCTTTCTTTGTTCTTCTCGTAAATTATCAATAAATGATTAAATATTTTTTCGTAATAATAATAATAATTCGCTCACGTGTATGTAAATAATTTAAAAAATCGACGTGGCAGCAAAAAATTTTATTATTTTTACCCTGTTTACGTTTTTTTTTTTTTTTATCGATGTTATCGTTACGATAATAATAATAATAAATGTTAATATTATTATTATCATAATTAATGATGGAGAGAAAAATTTGAGATAAAAATAAATAACTGACGTGGAAATAGTAATTTTTTAAATATTTTAAAAAGTGTTGTTGTTACTGTTACTGCTGCTGTCGTTACAGTTATTATTATTATTATTATTATTACGTTTTAAATGAGAAAATCCATTTTTTTTAAAAAAATTTTTTAAATACCAAAATTATTGAATATGTAAGAGACCGACGTATCCTGCGGCGGAGGTTTTCTCGTCGACGAATTATTATTATTATTATTATTATTATTATTTATGTAATAAGATGATTTATTTCTCATGCTCGATGATGATCCCATGAGTGCGACAGCTTCGTAATATCTAAGTCTTCCACAGCATTTTTTAGATTTTATTATCGCGACAAAACCTCTCCGATATTTTTTATTAAAAAAAGCGTACCTGGAAAAAAAAAATGGCGGAAATAGTTATCGTTTTTATTTTATCGTGGGGGAGGAAGGGGGGAGGATTCATACTCACAGTATGGGATTAATACAAGAATTAGATGATCCCATCCATTGTGCCACGGGTGTTATGTAAGCCAATATATTTTCTTCCCAGTGATTGACGTCACCTCCGAGTTTTATCCTTGCAAATATTATGTATAAAGGCATCCATGACACGACGAATATGATTACTACCACGACTAACATTTTAACGACTTTTACCTTAGAAAAAAAAACAATCGTTATTACTTTTTGTGTCACGTGATAAAAAGATGATGATGATGATGATGTTGAACCTTTGATTTCTGTTGTATTTTTTCCATTTGTACATCTTTCGAATCCGTCGGTATTGTTCTCCTCCATACTTTTATCCATATCAATATGTAACACAAAGTTATGAGTATGAGTGGTAGAATGTAGCAGAAAACTAAATTCACGACGAGAAAGTAAAGGGATCCGCTCAGGGATTCCGGCCATACTTCCAAACACAACAAAACGTGGGGGGATTCGCTAAATATGACGAGATCAAAATATAGAGCCCAGGGTATCGTCGCCGTTGATGCCACGACCCATATAACGATTATTATAACTCGTGCTCGCCTTTTAGTTATTTGACATTTCAACGGCCACCATATTGCTAAAAATCTGAAACGAGAAAACAAAAAATTTCACTTTCCCATCGATCGATCGATAATTATTTCCGGCACGTGTAATAGCCATCTTTAACTACATTAATAATAATAATAATTGCGGATAAATATTTTGACCGTTACGAAAAAAACGGTTTGTAAATTTAGTAATAGCTACTGGAATTTTAATTCAATCAATCAATCAGTCAATCAATCATTCACGACTCTTACTAGTGGTATTGAACGTTAACGCAACCGTCGCGTAAAATTCTCGTATTGATCTCTTTTCCCTTCCCTCTCTTTCCCCCTCCCTCCCCTCGCTTCTGTTTTTCTTCTTCCACTTTTCAAAAGTAACATTTTTCGCGTGATGGTAATAATAATAATTGTATTATATAAAAGGAGGGGGGGAGGAAAATTTCAATCGGTTTATTGCCTGACGATTTAGACGTAAAAGTTAAAAGTTAAAAAAAGGCAAAAAATGTTTCGACGTTGGAGTAATAGTAATAATAATAATAATAGTAGTAGTAGTAAAAAAAAAAAAAATTCGATAAACGAGACGAAAATGGGGAAAAGAGAGAGAGAGAGAGAGGTGGGGGGAAAGGAGGATTGGGGGTGGGTGGTAAACGAAGAAACGGTGGATGGCGGTGGTAAAAAAAAAAAAAAAAAAAAAAAGAAATTTAGGTCGAGCATTGATCTGGAAAAAAAAAAAAAATTTTCCCGTAAAACCAGGTGGAAAATTCGTTGAAAATAACGTGAAAAGGAAACAACAATAAAAAAAAAAAAAAAAAGGAAAACGTCGTCGTGAAACGGGAACGGGAAAGAGCTTTACGCTACATAGTAAATTCTCAATCGATTTTCCTTAAAGCTCCTGGAATTTAAAGAATTTTTTTTCCTCCAGGAGCGTCAGTTTGAAAAATAAAAAATAGAATCTTCCTTTTTCCCCCCTTCCTCCCCCTTCCTCCCCCGAGGAAGGTTTTTCTTTTTTATCGTGATTTTTATTTACTTATTTCGTCAGCCAAAAAAATTTTCTTTTTTTTCGTCGTTATTGTCATCATCGTTCCCGTCATCCTCTTCCTCCTCGTCTTCGCCACAAGGAAAAATCATTATTAAATTTTCCATCCTTTTCCATCCTTTTAAATATCATTCATACATTTTCCATCTCTTTTCCAAAAAATAAATTGCCCGTAGTAAACTAATCTACTAAAATGTACGTTATCCTTTAGTAAATTTTCCACCGCCCCCCATTTCTTTTCTTATTTCCGGATTATTATTATTTTTTTTTTTTCTAATATGTTGGCAACGGTAGAAGGGGGGAAAAAAAACTTTAAACGAATTTTAAAAATGATAATAATAATAATAATAATTTATTTTCTTTTTATTTCCATGACACGATACAAAAAAAAAAAAAGTTTTATTTATTTATCGACGACGACGACGATGACGAAGACGGCGATGATAATAATGATGATGATGATGATGATGATAAAATCACAGAGACAAATGATAATAATTAATGATGATATGATTTGACGTATGAAACTGGAAATATCGGTAGAGTTTTAACAATTGGTACCGTTTTGACAACCGGTACGATGGGTACCGTTTTCACAATGGGTACGACAACGGGTTTGACAAAAACCGGAGCTGCCTTATACGTCACGATGGGATGAGAATGAACAATTGGTACGATTGCTGGAGCGGTATGAGTCAAAATCGGTGAAACAAAACCACCGGCAACAACCGATAAAGCAACGGCGAATATAATCTAAAATAATAATAATAATAATTAACACGCGAATCATTCTTTCTTCCTATATATCGAAAACCTTTTTCAAAAAAAAAAAAAAAAAAAATCACAAAAACAGTTTTGCCAACTTACCAATTTAAACATTTTTAAAAAAATTTTACTCTCAACGTTCACTCGAAGAAATCTAACAAACGATTTATTATTATTTAATCGTTGACTGGAGTTTATATAGTAAAAAAAATTTTTAACCAATGGGGAAATATTTAAATATTTGCGGGTATCTCTCAGATTTATCAAAACATTTGTTTCACAACAACCCCTCTCACGTCCTCGACCCAATCATAACAATTTTCTTTTTACCAGGGGGGCTGGAAGGGGGAGGAAGGGGGGAATTTTTCGGCCGTTGCGTTATATACGCGCGTGTGACACGAAAATGGATAAAAATCAAATTTTATACTTTAATACTATTTTTAAAAAGGAACGATAATAATAAACGTTGCGATTATTATTATTATTATTATTATTATTATTATTATTATTATTATTATTATTATTATTATTATTAAATTATTATTACGGTGGGAAGAATGAGGGCCGTAACGAGACGAATTTTCCATCAATCATTTTCGATTGACGAATTTTTTAATATTTGTTATTTTATTTTAACCAAATACCCGAAATGATTTTTCGTGCGTTACAAACACGGGACGAAACAATTACGTCATCGTAAATTTTTTGCTATCGTTTACTGATATAAATAATAATAATAATAATAATAATAATTTGTCGTTAATTTTTCGTGAGTTTGAACAAAAAAAAAAAAATTTGTTTGTTTTTATAACGCGTTCGATCATCAGTTATTAATTAATTATTATTATTACGTATTAAATTTTTTTTTTTTTTTAGCAGACGACGATAAAAATCTTAAAATTTTATTTGAGGGGACCGAGACGAGACGAGGGGGGGCTTTTTCACGAGTTGCATAAAAAAAAAAAATTTTTTTTGGTAAATTTATTAATTAATCATTTTTAAACGAAAGGATTGTAACAACACATTGCGGTTGTTACATTCTTTTAATAAAAAGAAAAATTTTAAATAATAATAATAATAATGATAATGATAATAATGTCGAAAATTTCGAAATAATAATAATAATAATAATAATAATAATAATAATAGTAGTTTTTTTTTATTTATTTCATCGACACGAGGACACGTAACGCGCACCAAAAACGCGAATCAAATTGAAATTAAATAAAAACTATGAAGAAATTTCATCGTTATCATCATCATCATCATCATCATCATCATTATTATTATTATTATTATTCGTCATTCCGTGAATGAAATTAATCAAAATCACCGACATTGACGTCACTTTTTTTTTTCTCTCACTACGATTGTAGTAAGTTTTTGTGTAAGAAACAAAACAAAAAAAAAAAAAAATTCTCATTTAAAAATTTACATACAACGACTAATTTATTTTCTCACCGTCTCTCTCTCTCTCACTTTCTTTCATTCTCATGCTTTCTCCATCTCTCTTTCTCTCTCTCTATCTCTTTCATATTGGCAAATAACAATTCAAACGGTTAATTACGACAATTAATTGTTTATTTATTATTTCCACGAAAATTATTAATAAATACCTTATTTTTTTTTTTTTAATTAGTTATGAAAAATTTTAATGATAATAATAATAATAATCGTGAGATTTTAATAATAATAATAATAATAATTATTATGCAAATGAAAAAAAAAAAATTTGAAAATTTATAGTTTTGTTAAAGTCTATAAAAAAAAAATATAGTTTTATAGCAAAAAAAAAAAATTCATAAAAATCATCGTTTTTTTAGTGAGACTCCATTATAGAAATAATAATAATAATAATAATGATAATAATGATGATGATAAAAAATATCGAACGTCGAATAAATTTTTTTCTCTTTTTTTTTTTAATACGATTCGAACGTTCCGCCATTTTAAAAAAATTATTATTATTATTTGTCGAGTCATTATATCGTTACGAAATTTTTGTTTTTAAATAAATAAATAAATAAATGATGTTTACAAACAATAGAAGGACCGAACCGAATTATTTAATATATAATAATAATAATAATAATAATAATAATAATAATAATAATAATAATAATAATAATAATAATAATTGGACATAAACGACCTAGATAAAAAAAAAACAAGACGAAAAAACGTTGAGAGTAGACAAAGTTTTTTTTTTTTCTTCAAAAATCCGTTCGGATAATTAAATCCTCAGTCTTGTATTAACCTTTTACAAATTCCCTATAAAACGACGGGATTTTTTTTTATATATATTTATATATATTTATCATTAATCCCGTATTCCAGACTTTTCTCGTTAAAAAAAAAAAAAACAAAATGGCGCGGATCGAATAGAAAAAAATAAAAAATTTAAAGGATTAATTCGAACGGTTGATTTTATCAATTTTCATATAAAATAATAATAATAATAATGATGTTTTTAAAAAAAAAAAATTTTTTAAATCCGTTATTCGAACGTGTTCAAAAATAGAAAAGTTAATATTATCAAAAGCATAATAATAATAATAATAATAATAATTTTGAATTTTTTTTTTTTAAATTTATGTTTATTTTCTCTATGATATTATTTTCCAATAGAAAATATTGAATGCGTTTAAGTGGTTTGATTTTTAATACGTTTGCGGTGGTTTTTATTTTGCGGGCGGGGGAGGGGGGAAGGGGAACGGGAGGGAAAGGATTTTCCCATAATAGATTTAAATTTAATAAGTTTTTTTTTTTTAAGTTTCCGTCGCGTTTTATTTATTTTCCTAGATTTTCCAATACTTTCGTGTCGTCGGAACTTTTGATAATTTTATATATCTTAAAGCAGACGACGAGTTTTTAAAAAAAAAAAATTTTCACAGGATTATTTATAAATAATAAAAATAATTCTGGAACGTTCTGGAAAAACCAAAAAACCGTTCGAAATCGGGATTACAATTACTTTTTTATTTATTCCCTTTTTTTTTGCTAAAATTTTCGAAAAAACTCCTCCTCTCCCTGTTCCTCTTACACCCCCTTTAATCCTCCCTTCCCCCTTTAATACGCCCCCATTTAAAAGTAAATAAACAATCGCGAATTAAAAAAAAAAAAAAAAAAAAAAAAAAACGGAAACGTGTTCCGAACAGAAATTATATAAATATTGGAAAATTACATTTTGAAAATGAAAGCGAAAAAAAAAAACTTTTACGATTTTTTTATTTAAAAAAAAAAAAAAAAACAGATTAAAAGGGAAAGGGTCAAAGGGTCAAAGTTTAAAACAAACAAAAAAAAAAAGAATTAATAATAATAATAATAAAACCCTTTTCATTTTTTAACTAAATCAATTTCGAACCGATAAAAAAATTGAAAAAATTCGTTTTTTCTTTTTTTTCGACGCCATCTTATTATTATTATTATTATTTTAAATAATTAATAAGCTTATTAATCAATAAGTTTACTAATTAATTTATTAAGACTTTCCGTAAAAAAAATAAATAAATGTATTTATGTACATAAAAAAAAAATTTTCCTTACGAAAATAATATAATATTAATTTTTCTCAGACGTTCGTTTCCGGTTTATTTCCCTACTCGAATACGTTTTATCCGCCATTTTGAAAAAATTATTTTATTAATTTTAGGGGCGAACAATAATAATGATAATAATCTAAACCGTACGATAGATTTTAAATAAGAGAAAGATAGAGTAAACAATAATAATAATATTTATTTAAATCGACGAACTTTTGAAATATTTTGATTAACGTTCCGAACGTCCAAAAAAAAAACGTTCGATTTTTTTTTCTTCAAAAAATTAAAATTTATCGAGTCTCGTTTGAAATAATAATAATAATAATAATAATAATAATAAATTAATCACTTGTTTGTTATAATAATAATAAATTAATCACGTGTTTGTTTTTTTTAAAAATGTATCGATCGTAAAAAAAAAAAAAAAAAAACGATAAATCTTTCTTTCGCGAAAGTGAAATTTATTTATTTTAAGAAAATTTTTTTTTTTTGGCACGTTTTTAATTTCAAATATTTTCTCATACTCATCCTTAATCCGACCCTGAACTTTTTATCACATGGAAAACCATATTCTTATTACGATTTTAAATTTTAACGGACGAAAAATTTAAAAAAAAAAAAAAAAAAAAATTATTTATAAATTTTTAATTTAAGACCTGCATTTGTTTTTATTTTTGTTTTTGTTTTGCGTCTTCTGCTGATTTACGCGGTTTATTTTTAAAATTTGTTTATTACATTTAATAACAGACTAAATAATAAATAAATAAATAATATATTAAAGTCAATAGGTTAAATCATTTTTTAAAAAAAATAAAATTTTATTAAAGGTTCATCGAATGCAATTTTTTTCTTTAGACAATAAATAATATTTGAAAATACGATTGACCGACCGACCGACCGGAAATTCAACAAAAGGTGAACGAACTCAAACGAACGAACAAACGAAAGAAAATTTTCTTTCTTTAAAACCGGAAACGGGGGAATCGTTTCGAAATTTTCTTTCTTACCCTAACGTAGTTATACGTGTTTAATAATTCCTTGTAAAAAAAAAAGCGAATATAAAAAAAAAAAAAAATGAATAAAATAATAATGGATACTTTTTTTTTTTTTTATTATTCTGTCTTCTGCTTGTCGTAATTTTCTAAGAAGGGGAGGGAGGGGGTTGGAAAAGGGAAAAAAATTTTTTTTTAACGAGTCGAATCGTCTCGTACAATTGAATGACCTAATTTTAATTAAATTTTTTTAAAAAAAAAAAAAATCCCCGTTCGTCGATGGACGTTCGTAATCATTCGTTCATTAAAATAATGTTTTCCTTTTTTTTTTTTTATTTAAATTTTCACGTCTTGGAAAAAACGAGAGAAAATATTTATATGTAGGACGTAAGAGAGAAGGGGGGAAGTGGGGGGGGAAACTCGCGTTTACGACGTTTTAATTTTTTTTTTTTTTTACAGTAAAATTCATTTTTGCAGAAACGTAAAAGAGCTAAACCATCTCTTCTTTAAAAAAATTTTTTTTTTTATTATTATTTTTCAGTCGTAAAATAAATTAAATATATATATATAAAAATTTTTTTTCAAGTCTTCTTCCACGACATTATTCCTTTTTTTTCATTTTTTTTCTTTTTTTCTAATTTTTAGATTTTGAAAAACGTAATAAATCAATTTTTTTTTTTTTTTTGTTTTTAGTCTGTTGCATTTACGATACGAAATTTAACAAAAAAAAGCAGGAATAAGAAAAAGTGTCAGAAGAAAAATAAAATAAAGTTGACAAACGAAAGGAAAAAGAAAGAAAAAAAAAGAAAAAAGAAAAACGTGAAAATTTTGTTGCGATTTAAAAATAAAAAAAAAATCTAAAGTTTTCTTTTTTTTTTTTTTTTTTTACTCCCGTGAAATTAATTTTAAGCTGTCAAAAAAAAAAAAAAAAAGAAAACCGTTAACTGGAAAATTCATTGCAATTTTTCTTTTTCTTTTCCCTTCCTCTTTCCCTCCCCTTCCCCCTTCCCTCCTCCCTTTTCTTATTTTCCCGTCGGAAAATGCAAAGAAAAAATAAAGAAAATTTTTTTTTTTAAAATGAGATCTTAATCCTTTGGAACAAAAAAATCGATAAATAAATAATTGAATTGGTTTTTTTTAATTTTCCTATTGGCTGTTGCTTCTTCCCGGAATTCCCACTTTTTATCCCGTAAACCTTTCCCAGTGAATAAATAATAATAATAATAATTAAATACAAAAAAAATTATCCCTGGCATTATTTTAAATAATAATTTATCATTTAACTATCGAAAAATTAATTCGCGTTCGGGTAAATTATATTTTTCCGACGTGACATCCTATAATTATTATTATTATCATTATTATCATTATTATTACTATTATCATTATTATTATTATTATTATCAACATTTTTTTTGCAAATTTCCGTCTCAGGTGTTAACCTCCCGATTTATTACTCCGCAGGGAGTTGAAACGTTTCAAAAAAAAAAAAAAATTCAAATCGTTTGACTTTACCCACGCGAAACCGTAATTAATATCATTATTATTATCATTATTATCATCAATAAATGAATAAATAAACCGTTGCAAAAATAAGGGAGTGACGAACGATTTTGCAACGTCGCAAACAAAACAAAAAAAAAATGATTTTCCCTAATTTAATTTTACTCGTCTTTCGTTTTTTTGTTTAATAAGTTTAATTAAATAAACGTTAATAATAAATAAATAAAATTAATTAGTCGAATTTATTAACCGGGTAATTAATTAATTAATTAATAATTTTTTCTGTCGTATGTAAATAAATTTTTCCGACTGCGGTAAAAAAAAAAAATAATAATAATAATAAATGTTTACCTGTCTAAAGACACGGCAATTAAACTGTAAACGGATGCAGCAACAGAAACTCCCTGTACGTATGGTACCGTTTTACACATCCACCAACCCAAAATCCAAGCTGTAAATAAATAAATAAATAAATAAATAAAATAATTTATCGTTTCGTACAATTATTATCATCATCATTATTAATATTATAAAAAAAAATCGGGAAACAAACGAAATCATTTGTCTGGAATAACGATTAAAATCCGATTTGTAAACAAATTATTTTTCATTATTATTATTATTGTGTGTTAAACTCCTCGTGAAATTCTTTCTTATCGGTAAACACTGATCGCCATTTTTGTTTTTGTAACGGAAATGATAACGTTATCATTTACATAAATAAAAATGCCATTTTTTTTTAGAGATTTAAATGTGATAGTATTCAAAAAAATTAATAATAGGACGATAAATTTTTTTTTTTTTTTTATTCACGTCGTCACCATTATCATCATCATTATTATTATTATTTGGGCACTCAGGTAATCGATCGGGTTTTGAATAAACGTTATAAATAATTTACGCACTCTTGATAATTAATTCCTTTTTTTTTTTTAAATTAAAATAAATTATAATAAATTATAAAAAGGAGGATAAAAATTATCCGTGTTAATTCGTTAATCCTAATCGTCGCGATTAAATTTTCTCCAGTTATCCAGTTTTGGAATGTATGATTTGATTGATAATTTTACGTTCGTCGTTTTCTTTGATAAGTGTGACGAATAATAATTTCGAAACGAATACTGAAATTTTCTTTTTAACAGGCACAGCGGAAAACTTTATAAAAAAAAAAATTTTCCAGGGAAGGAAATGGGTTTCCACGCGTATGTTTAGCTTACCTAATAATTAATTTAATGGAATCGTTAAATTTTCAACGTTTTCATTACGGAAATTTTTTTTAGTCGTCGTGAAATCACGTTGATAAATAATCCAAAAAAAAAAGAATCCACAAAACAAAAAAATATTTTAGAGGATTTATGTGGGAAATTTTTCCGAGTCTGAGGTCCTGATTTGCCCAGTTCGAATTTTCCAGTCAGATTGAATAAATGTAATTCTTGATTTTAACCTACGTCACCTACGATTAATTTTCTTTTTACGGATTTAAATCAGTTCCATGAAAATTTCATATTAATTCACGAATGATAAATTCGGTGTTGCCAACATTTGCGAATGTAATTTTTTGCCATTGCAAACGACGCGTAAATCCCGATCAAAAGTCGTTTTATTAATCGTTACGAAAAATAAAATGATTTTTAAATTTTCGTAATCACGTGACATAAACAATCTCGAAACGGGGAAATTTTTTTTTTTGTTTACAAACAAATAATCACGTGATTTTATAAATTTTTAAAATTTAATAAAATTTTTTTTTATCGCGTTTGCGTAAAATTTTTTTTTAAATAAATAATTAACGTTTTAAAAAATATGATAAATATTACGTCGCGACGACATTTTGAAAAAGATAATTATTAAAAAATTACGACGGGGGTTTATAATTAATTAATTTATTTATTTATTAATTAAATTAAATAACGTCGCGAAACAAATTTCGAAGCATCGTTGATTTCCCCTCCCTCCCTCTCCCTCTCCCTCTCCTTTCTCTCTCTCTGTCTCTCTTATTAACCATAGCAAAATTTTTTTAAATCGTACCTGAACCTTAAACAATTGTCAGTCCGATACGTCGTACGCGTTACCAACCGAAAAAAAAAAAAAAGAGAAAATTTTTGTTTTTTTTTTTTTTGATTTGTTTTCCCGTTTCATTTATTTTAAATTGACGTGTTACGCATATGATAATTAAATGAAAAACAACGTCAATTTAAAAAAACAATTTTTTTTTTCCCGTAAACATTTTAATCACGTCATGATTTTAAAATCATTTAAGATTATTTATTTAGGGCATCGCAACGGAGAAAAAAAAAAAAAAAATTTAAATTAAATTAAAATTTTTTTTATACTTATTATCATTATCATTATGACGTAACGAAATACGCAAATTTACGAGTCGGAAGTATTAGAATAATATCGAAAAACGGTTAAAAAGATATATAAAAGAAAGTAAATTTTAAAAAAAAAAAAGTTTTATTTGCTTTTTTTTCCTCCTCCCCCTTTCCCCCCCCCGCTTTGTAAAAGTTTCGTTTGGGATTTGTTCTAGAACTTTTTATTATAATAACATGTCTCGATGAGACACATTTACCGCATCAATTTTTACCAAGTTTTTTTTTCTTTTTCTTTTTTGTAAAAGAAATAAAAAATAGATCAATGTATAAAATATTTCAATTTGATTAAAACTATTGTTATTTGTCTTATCATCATTATTATCATTATTATCATTATCGTATTCGTTTTTTTTTTATTGTTTTCGTTAGTTAAATGAATTCTTTTATTGTAAATAAATTTTATTAATTTTTTTTTTTTTTTTTTTTTTAATTTTCGTCATAACATTTGGTTGTAAGTTTTTTTTTTCCCCCCGTTTTTAAATTCGCGTTTTTTTTTTTTTTTTTTTTAAAGATAATAATAATAATAATAAAATTTATCGAACAGAATTTTTATGTTTATCTTATGCTCATGTTCAAATCGCGATACGAAAAAAAATAAAATTTGATGTTTTTTAAAAAGAAAAAAAAAATTCATTTAACGATTGCAATTCTATAAAATAATAATAATAATTATTAATATTCTTATTGTTATTATTATTATTCGTTATTTAGTCGCAAATAAAAAGATATTTAATAATAATAATAATAATATTAACCAAATGAATTTTTTTTTAATTGCGATTATTCCAAACGTTAAAAGTCAGATGTAAAGTCATAAATATGGGGGGGAAAAAAATTCAAGCAAAAATATTGCTGAGAGCAAAAAATTAAAATTCGTATTTTTATATATATATATATATATAAATTTTTGCTAACTTTATAAAAAAAAAAAAATACCTGAAACGCTTTCGAAAGAAAAAAAAAAAAAAAAGCGGACGAACGAATAAATAAATAAATAAAAAATATTTTAACGTGTGCGTGTACGTGCGTGTGCACGTGCATGTATTCTAATATCAACGTTTAAATTCGAGTTAAATTTTTTTTTTTTTACATAATAACGTTCAATTTTATTTATTTATTGATGGGTTATCGATAAGAAGAAAAGAAAAATGATTTGCGTGTTCCTACGGTTCGACGACTTTGACGGTAAAAAAAAAAAAAACAAATTTAATTTTTTTTAATTTGTTTCCCCCTCCCCCCATCAAATAAATCACATTATTATTATTATTATTATTATTATTATTATTATTATTATTATTATTATTATTATTATTATTATTATTATTGATTTTTTTTACATTTTAAAGTAATAGAAAATTTTTAATTCGACGACAACAACAACAAAAACATTTAATCGCGTTTTTATTTACACGTTAACGAATTTATTTATTAAAACACTTAAAATTATTAGCAGACGACGTGGTTCCCCCCTCACACTCCCCCCCCCAAAATAAAAAAAATTCCATTTCGCGGCGATAAATAATTCGTATGAAATTGTGGAGAGAAAAAAAAGAAAATTAATTAAATAAAATGTAAAAAAAAAAACAAGCGTAAAAATTTAAATGACATCTCAACTCGAATTCTGATTGGTTACAAAATTTTTTACCCCCCCCCCCCCACCATCATCCCCTCTCGCTCGTATGAATGATTCATCCCCATCCATCCGCATTTCATCGTGAAAAGTAATCTTTTTGATCTTTATTCCCGAGTAGTATTATAACAACAATAATAATAATAAAATTCAAAATGGCCGACGACGATGAAAACTTTTGTTTATTTATTCGGGGTCAACGAACTCGTTTTTCCCTTTCTTTTTTTTTATTTATTTTTGACGTCGAAAATATTAATTTTTTAAAAAAAAAATTATCAAACGAAATTTTTTCATATATGTGAAATCATTTACGTACGATTAAAAAGAAATGATAATAATAATAATAATAATAATAATAATAATAATAATAATAATAATAATGATGATGATGATGATGATGATGATGATGATGATAACAATAATAATTGTTTGGGCGATTTCCGTACGTTACCCATGAATTCAACGCATCGCTAATTTAATTCGGGGAAAAACGAAAAATAAAATTCGTTTACTATTTTTTTTTGTGGGGGGACGGGGAAGGAGTGGGGGGGAGGGCGAACAATTTTGCAAATGATTTACCTGCAACGTAATAACTTACAAAAAAAAATATATATATGTATATTCACCTTAAAAAAAGAGGTCAAAGAAAATTTACAATTCGCTACATTTGAAATTGATTGATTTTTTTTTAAAAGGAAATTTTTCCCGAAAAATTTTCCTTCTCGTGAATTTCTGCTCAAGTCTTTTCAGACATTAAATCGATCAAATTTGAAAAAATTTGACCTCTTCGAAACATTTATTATTATTATTATTATTATTATTGCTGGAAAATTTTTTTTTTTACGTGGTAAAAAATTCATTCATTCAGTTAATGCACGTGTGCACATTTGTCAAAAAGAATCTTTGTTTAAATTATCGGTCGTGACGTAATAAGAATGACGAAAAAGCGGACTTTAAACGAAAAAAAATTTGAGAAGGGGTCGGGGAGGGGTGGGGGACGGGGCGGTTAAAATCAACAATAATAATAATAAGTAATAATGAAATTAATGTAATGGTATTATTTATTTATTTATTAATAATTTATAAATTTTAAGAAAATTAAATTTATTAATAAATAAATAAATAAAATGTTTACTTTTTTGTTTTTTTATAAAATAATGATGATGATGATGATGATAATAATAATAATAATAATGCATTAAAAATAAATAAAAACTACATTATGTGCCCACTCATGTTTTCTTTTAAAATAAAATTTAATATTTAATAATTTAATGATTTTATTGTTTGTTCGTTTGTTTGTTTGTTTTTTCGTTTGTTTGTTCGTTTGTTTTCAATAAGTTAAAAAGTTTTTACTTATTTATTTAATTTACGAAAAAAAAAATCAATTTTATTAAGTTTCGCGTTATAAAATTGAAACGAATAGTAAAAAAAAAAAAAAACG